AAGGGGGCGGGGTTGACCTCGTTGCTATGGATGATGTCAGCATGCTTACTAACTATGCCCACAGTGATTGGCTGATAGTCTCTGCAGAGATTTATACATAGAAATATTCTAGAGTAAAGATAAAGGTTTAAAAATAAAAATGTTGCCACATTCAAATAAAGATCTTAAAATGCAGGCTAAGTGTCACTATAATAAACATGTGTTCAGCTAATTGTCAGCCTCTTACATGTATGCTTCTCAATATTAGTGAATATGCATATAAACAGCCTTTTAATAAACAGAGTAGAATAATCATGGCTGATAGTAATACATGCAAACGTAAAAAAAAAATAAAAAATAAAAAAACTGGACGCAAGAACAGCTGTTACTTCTTGTCCAACTAGTTAATGAAAACAAGGATATAATCAAAGGAAAATTTGAAGTTGGGATAACCTCCAAAACCAAAGGCGATACCTTTTTAAAATCACATTATCGTTAAATGTTTCTAAAACGTTTACGTTCCGAGGCGGCGGGGTTGACCTCGTTGCTATGGATGATGTCAGCATGCTTACTAACTATGCACACAGTGATTGGCTGATAGTGTCTGTCAGAGATTTATTCATATAAATATTTTAGAGTAAAGATAAAGGTTTAAAAATAAAAATGTTGCCACATTCAAATAAAGATCTTAAAATGCAGGCTAAGTGTCACTATAATAAACATGTGTTCAGCTAATTGTCAGCCTCTTACATGTATGCTTCTCAATCACAGCGGTTACTTCTTGCCCAACTGGTTAATGAAAACAAGAACATAATCAAAGGAAAATTTGGAGTTGGGATAACCTTCAAAACCGTCAAATACTTCTAAATGTTTACGTTCCGAGGCAGATTGTCGGCAACAGCCATTTTAGGAATAGTTTGTGGTTTGGTCTTAAAGGGGTCATATGATGCGATTTCAATTTTTCCTTTCTGTTTGGAGTGTTACAAGCTCTTGGTGCATAAAGAAGATCTGTAAAGTTGCAAAGACTAAAGTCTCAAATCCAAAGAGAT